ATATATATATATATATATTACAGCCTAACATCAATCAATATATCATATGATATCTAAAATATTAATAAAAACACAATATGGTAAAATCAGTCAATGGTATGATCAAAACACTAGCTGGTATGGAATCAATCAGGTCAGTTTTCAACAGACTTAAATGTTTTTACTAAGGAATTTACCTTAAATTGAGATTTTTGCATTAAATTCAAGATGTAACAATTTTGGTTCAACAACTTGTGGATAGTATATGCTCTTATACTATTTGTATCCTACAAAATTTATCAAGTGCAGAAACATTTGGCTATCTGCTGTGTCCGCCATAGAGAATCAAACTCCAGATTTGAGTATTGTAAGTACGTAAACTTGTCACTGTCCCACCGATGAACAAGTGAAGCATATAGGCCAAATATTTCCCCCAGTAAATAAACTTAATTATTTTATAGCAATTTTAAATTTTTTCAGAAAATGTAAAGATGAAATCACAGTAACAAATTATGATTAAGATATGTTTTTTTAATATACAGTCTTGTAATATAAATCATTTTATTCACAAAACAATTCCCCAGATTCACTAGAACTAAACCATATAAAAACATTTACAACAAAACTTGTAGCAGGAGTGTCAAGAATACTTCCTCAATTTACCTAACTAAAAACAAAGTACAACACTGCCACCTAACAGTTAAAACCTAGAAAGGCTTCAGGCTAAGGTTTTATCATAACAAAAAATGTTTTATGAATTTTAATTATACTTTTCAATAACTCACTTTTTTCAATACTAATTTTCTGACATTTTTGCTCAAGTAAGTACATACTAAAAACATATTAATGTGATTAGGAAGTGCAAGCTATCCCTGGGTAAGAGTGAGGCATGATTCCCATTTTGGGAAAAATTAAATTCTCTAGCTTTTCTCAGAACATTCCCAGACAATTTGATCTATGATTCTAATGTATAATTGAACTATAACAGTATGAGAAATTGCAAAAACGTTTTTATATGTTATTCAATAAAGGCTAGACAGGCTTTATATTAAGAGTTACTGTTTGCTAAAATGTCACCTTTTAGAGTTTGTATGATCAGATATGCCAATCTTGAATCACTGATACTTTACCAGAACATACACAACAAAGGCAGTTTATCCATTTGTTTATGACAGTGCATACTAACAACACTTTTCACGTTTTAATTTAAATCACAAAAACATTATTATGCTATAAACAACACTGTAAATTTTAACATTTGTGATTATTACATTTCAACTTTTAATACATGGAAGGAACATGTTTACTGTTGTAAAATGGAGATTTCTCTAACAACTATGCTCCTCATATGTCAAATATTTATTACAGCAATATTTTCTGATGTGCACATTTGCACAAAAATGTACAAAACTTTCAGTTGCTAACTATACATTTCAGAAAACTCATATTTCCAATATCTATGAAACAATTTCACTCATTATTTTTGCATGTGCTTCAAACTGCACATATGAAGCTCATCTATGTCAAAATTATTGAAATCTTTGAATTAAAGTGATAGTACATTTATCAAGCAATCATATCATTGAATACATTTTCAAGTTCACACAAGTTTTGTTTGTTTGCAAGATCACCAGATTATTCTCTCAAATAATTCTAATAATTTATATAAAGGTCATTTCATACAGGGAATCAGACCTGTTGATAAAGGTTTATAGTTGCATTATAATCATACACCAACATCATGTACAATTATACTCTTGTAGGATGCCATAACTGGCACAGACATGAATGTTACTGTATACAGTCATGTTCACCACAAACAGTAATACTTCATTACAGTATTAAACTGGTTTACTCAGGTGTCAAGTTTTCATTTTGTTTTTAAATAGTGTTGCTTATTAACTCTTTAAACCCATAATTTCTTGCACATTCTGCCAGAATTGTTTTCATGATTTCCTAATAATTATTACCATGCCTTATAAAACTTCAATTTTCCTAATTTTGTGGATAATAACATGTTTTGAATTAGTTTTCAGCTAAAGAGACAAAAATGTTATCTGACGCTGTCACTGTCCAATGGGTAAATCGGCCAGGTTTTTCTGCTAGCATCCACTCAGATTTAAGGAGTGAAATTAAATAAAAACTGCTACTAAGTAAAATGTTTACTAAAAGTACTCACATTATTTCTATTTTGGCATGGCCCTTGGATTTAGACACAATGATAAACACTAACACATCACCTGTACTTGACCACACTAGAACTAAACAATCTCCATAATAACTCAATCTCAGGAGTATACCGTGATCTAAAAGCCAATAATTTCAAAACAATACAAAAACTGTTAATCCAGTTCTACCAAACTTTGTATGCTCATCTTTACCTTTAGTCTTTAATCTTTCCTGTACCTAGCATTCTGTTTGTTGTTTGACAAACAGTAAATTTTTCTAATACATTACTCAGATATCCAATACATTAACTCTCTCCCTACAGGCTTGGTCAAATCAGCCAAGTTTGTGACCCCCAAATTAACCTTTATAGTTTTAATACTATAATTTTTAAATATGTTTAGTGTATCTTCATGAAGTTTCACAAACTTTCTGGAAGCATTAAGCCTTTTGGAGACAAAAAATCAGAATTTTTAATGTAGTATTTTCACTGAATATTATTCGGAGAATATATGGAGTCAAAGTATTGTCTGCTCCAAGTGCAAAGTGATTTTCTTGTTATAATTAAAAATACTTTTATTCATCTGAAATATCTCAAATTTCATTTGCATAATTTCTAAAACCTCCTAAATAAATTTAAAATGTTTTTTTTCAGAAAAACTTTATCTTTCATCTGTTACTTTCTCTGCTGTAACTCTATTCAAGGTTGGTCAATGTGACCAACCTCACAACCACAAAAAAAAACTCGAAATAAGCTCATGTTACCCTATTGAATTACATAAGGCACTGATAACAAATAAAACTGTATTCTCTGAAAGCTTTACATGTGTCTTGAAATACTTTATATTTCAATATTTTTAATTTGATTTTTTCCAAAACTTGTTTTACCTCTTAACTACTGTTTTGGTTAATATGGGTTTTCCCTAACTCACTGGTGATATTCTACCTGACTATTGAAGATATTACCTGTCAACAACCCTGTCAACCTGCAGTATACATTATGACATCATGTGTTGTACGTAACAGTTAATGATGTATATTATTTTATAAGTGATTAAAACAAAATTGCTGATTAATTATTAGTTATTTTTAATGGTTAACTGAATAAATACGAGCAGATATGAAAGAAAACAAAAACACACCAAAACTTTGGAGATGTATTCTATCTATTAACTACAAAACTTTACCAAAATAATCAAACTGTTCATTTTCAGTCTGACACTTTCCAAATCTTTTCTGCACAAATATGTCAGCGACAAATATATATCTAAGGTATTACATGTTCGCTGTATGATTAGTCATAGGGACTGCTTCATTAATGCAATAAAATATGGAAGATCAAAATAACTTATTTAATGGAAACAGTCTACCTCTAAATAGTAATTATTTAAGGGCTGTTAAGCTGTTTAGGAAGATGAGACATAGCCTTTCCACTCTCCGTATAGGCTGGAATCTAACTACTGTTTATGTAATCTATAATGACTGCTTTCATACTCCATAACAATTAGTAGTAAGTAAAAAAAATGGATGTAGACAAAATAATGTTTATGCATAAAATACTCATATTGACATGTGCCAGAATTTGTGTGTGTGTGATTTTTTGGCACTAATGATAATATATTTTTTTACTATCTGTGTCTCACAAGTATCAGTGAATCACATGAAATTTCCTGATATTTCTTGGGCCAGAAATGCAAACTATAAAATTCACTGACCTTTCCCAGTTTTCCTGACTTATGGCAATCATGGTAAAGGTAGGTTGATAGTAAAGTTTAATCCTTTCCCCGAGAAAATTAACTAAAGTTGATTGAACCTTTATTACTTTCAAGTGCTGAAATAGACTTTTCTCCACAGCAGCCAAAAAATTTCTCTCATTATTGCAACAACTGACAGATCTTGAAATGATCACCAAACATCCTTACCTGCTTCTGTCTGTGAGTAGCATTGGTTACCCACAAACAAGACTCAGCTGATCCACTCATGCTACCTATACTAGTGATGGACAATTAGCTAAGAGTTTAGTTGATGAACAAGTTAACTTATCACTCAACTTTGTCAAATTACTCATTAGAGGCAAAGGCACACTTTATTTACTTTGTAAAAACATTGCTTGTTTATTTATCAATAAAAATTGACTAAACAGTTAACTGATTGCTCAGCACTAGCCTACACATCAGCTCGACATACATTTTTACTTTATTGTCACCTTACTTCAGGTAAGTTATGTACACCATGTTTTTGTATCGTAACTGCAAAAGTTAAACTAAAAACATCATCATTGTATTGTTTTCTTCTACTGACATCAAGCCAGATGTTGCAAATAAATTTTATTACATATGTGATTTCCCACCAATATTGAGATATAAATAGTGCAAAATTTTTAGGAGTTATGAAAATACTTTATATATGCAATGCAATTTCCTGCTTTGGAATACATTTGGCATCTCATTGAATCAAGTTTGTCAATTTTAATGCCAAATTTTGCAACGTTTTTTGTTGAAAATATAAATTTCCATTATTCAATAGTTTTCAAGAGATTTTAATGCCAAACATGGAAATGGAAATAGTTATTTCAAGTTGTAAAAGTAATAAAAGAGGTCAAATTAAGACTTTTATATTTTGATGTAGAACTAACAACTTTTGGGAAATGCCTTTGAAATTAATTATATAGTGAAAGGGTTAATAGGGAAAATTAAGAGGACTTTGAGGTACCCTCGGATTAACCAATCAGTATATTAGTTATGGTATCTAAACCCTCATAACATGTAGTTTAAATGCATATTTTTGGTTCAATAAGGAAAATATGAAATTTGAGTATATGTTTAAACTGTAAAATAAACATAGCAAATAAAGTTTAAATTATCACATTTAACATAAAATACAGAGCATAGGATTAAATATTAGACCTAAAATAACGGGGACATTGTCACAAGAACAAAATAAAGGCTACATATGAAACAGATACATGTTCATAAGCTAAGTCATATTTAATTGGTAAGCATTTAAAAACTCTGGAACCAAAATATGTGTCTTGTATGTGGTGTGTATCCTCTATATGAACTTCTACCTGTGCTATTTTCATAGATAAATATAAAGTAAAATTTATTGTTCTTAACTCCTGGCTGAAGATAATGACTGTTTTTCTAAATTTATTGCTGCTCTCTCTTGGCTAAAGTTGCTGTGATTGCTTCTAAATTTATTATTTCTATCTCCTGGTGGAAGTTAATGTAAGTGTTTATAAATTTATTGTTGCTGACTCTCAGCTGATGTTAACCCTTTCGAGATGGGTCACAGGTGAGAGACCATGCCATCTTGTTTGTTGACTCGCACTCAAAATTTTTATTGAACAATTATTTCATGAATTGATGTCAATAAATTTGGTATCGAACTGTAGATTATAATTCAAATTTTAGAACTATACATTATTACTCAATTTGTTAATTTAAAAGTAATTATTAAAAAAACACAGATAAACATCAATTTTTGTGTGTCACGTGATATGTTGAATACAGCACTGATTCAAATTAGATGTTTCTGAAGTTAAAATACTAAGTCTATAGTTTGATATGAATTAGAAACTCAAATTACAGATACTGACAAGCTAGAATATAAAACAAGAAGGTCTTATCTTTTCTATTTGCTAACATATTGCTCACGTAATAAATCAAACACAGTGGCACCCCGCCAACCATTTTCCATTTTTGGAAATGCTCCCTTATATACACT